ATCAATTCTTCGGCGCTCAGCCTTCTTTATGGTCCAGCTCTCACAGCCATACATTACTACTGGAGAAGAGCATGTTAGCACGATACAAAGGGAACTGATAGTCTTCAGGGACAGAAAAGAAGCTATCCCTGATTCAGGAGCCAATGTTATATGAGAGCTTTTGCCAATGGGAAACTGCTGCATTCACAAGCTCTCTAGAGCTTCAATGCATTAAAAGGAAAGTCACTCCAAGTGTCATTTCCAATATGACATAGAGCAATTGGAAATACATTAGCACAGATGTCCACTGCCGCTGGCTTTAAGAATTCACTCACATGGATTCCAAGTCTACAAGAATGTCCAGAGAGTAGACTATGGTTGAACAGGACTGGTATATGTGAAAGTACCCCAAATTTCCCTAGAATATCTCTGATGTGGATTTGGAAAGAATGATTATGAGCTTTTAAATTTCTTATCAAGAAAATATAGTTCAGAACAGGAAGTATATTTTCCCCCTTAAATAATTAATGGATTAATTAGTAATGGAAAGTTCAAGGCAAGACTAAGAAGACAAAAATCACCTTAAGGTGTTTGGAATTATTTCAGAGTCAAATAGAAAAGATTAGATCCTAGATATAGCAAATGGAAAGGGCAAATCTACTTGCCTTGCAGCATCATTAAATAGGAGCATCAAAATCCATAAATACTAACCCGGCTTTCTTTCATATTTCCCAGGTAATAATATAAAGGAAAGAACGTGGTTTTTGGCAAAGAAAGATAAATTAAAGCAGAAGAGAAAGGGTTGAGAATCAATAAAGATAAAATGTATACCCTTTCTGGGTAAAGGGGTTTAGCAGGATCTGCTTTTAAACGTAGGCTGTTACATATAAGCAGATGCAGTGCTCTTTTTCTTTCTCCTGGCCACATATTTACTTACCATCAAGAATTCTAAAACAAAGCCAAGCAAGGGTGTTACAAATTAATCTCTGATGAAAGCAACACCTCCACCTCCACCTCGTGCTTTTAGGGAACACTGAAACCTCTATTTAATAGACCAGTGGGGGCCAGAGAGTCCCCCATCCCCTGCAGTGTCATTAGGCAAATTACATTGTTTTCATCATTTCCTTAATTGGATGTGAAATGATGAATATACAATGGGAATTGCATCCGTTGCATCCAAAGCCCATTGCAGAGAGATCCACTAAAGTGAGGTCTCGCTGGAATGCGATTTTTAGTATAGTATTCACTTCATTTTAATTTTTTTTCTACTTTATGTTGCTTATGTAATGCCTTTTTTTGTATTTAAAGTGCTCAGTCCAATAGCAAAATGTATCATTTAAATAAAGCCAATCTTTTTATAAAATATATAATATTTCAGTTTTGGAAATGTAAGCAGAATAATGATTTTTAACCGAGTAAAATGGAATTGATTTAAGAATTGAACAGTTTTAAACTGAAAAACTGAAAATTGCAATATGCATAATATTGTTCAAGCAAAACTGCACTTGTATTACTTGAATCAAGTTTTTTTTTAATAAAGGCCTCAACATGGCAAAGTTTAGAAATAGGTAGTATGCATGCACAGAATACAACAAAAAAATCTCTTATAAAACAGCTGTTATTTTTGCAATGTTTGTACAAAGGGAATAGAGCCACCACAAATGTATTTATTCTGTTAGATTAATAGATCATGACAGCTAAAATCAGTAATGTGTCGCAGAGGAATGAAAAGCCCTCTAGTTCTTTGAATACAGGTATGAGAAATATTTTGTGCCTTAAAGTTATGTAGAAAAAATTCCATGGGTGGTTGTCTTTTAACATCCTAAACAAGTTGTATGACATCTTTCTGCTACAATTAAAAAAAGGCAAATATTGTATTGATTTTGTTTTTTTCTTTTTATTCTTCATAACAACATAAAATAAGCTAATACCAGAGAAAGTGCTGGAAACTGATTACATTTTACACTCTCCACTATTGAGAATGTGGGCTTGAGGTTTGTCGAAGAATTTTTAAAATTTATCCACACTTGCTTTTAAATAATGTGTCGATAGATACAAAAGGATGAAGACTTGTTTGCTGTAATGTTTCTCTGAAAGGGTGGAGTTTCCTCACTCTTCCTAAGAATATTGTTCTCCATGTGTGTGCTTATGGCTTTTTGCTCTCCTGACAACATAGGGAAACTCATCATACACAAAGTATGCCTGTGACTGATTAAAGAAATGCATAACGTGTGTGCAGGCTGGGCAACACCCTCTTGTGATCCAGGTATACAGGACTACAGAATAGGCCTTCTCACACATCTGTTAAGGTCTCACCACTTGCAAAGTGGTATATCGCTAAGTTCACTAAGATTTTACTAAATATGAAGGATTTTTACATGGCATATATGTTTAGTATAGCTTGGACAATCACTGAATCTCCAAAACGGAATAATCTGTGCTCATGCAGACCATTAGATGTTTTCTATAGTACTCATAGCTTCTTTGCAACCTAAAGCTAATTGAAAAAGCAAGTTATGTTTGATTGTGAAATTAGCTTCTCTATAGTTTTAAGGTTCTGAAGTGAATTTCTAATGAGCACGAAGAGAGTAAACAACCCAATCATACTTCCACTATTTGAAACAAAAACAAATTCACACACTGTACTACAGCCTTCAGACTATATAATGGAAAAGTGCAGATATTGTCTTCAGTAGATTAAGTAAAACCAAAGGAAAAATTCATACAAAATAGATTGCCCATATTCACACTACAAAGGATTTCTTTAAATTTTTAACAAATTCAGTGTGTGTTATATCAGCAGCATTGTTGCAAATTGTACTGTAGTGCAGTTTTTTTTTCATAAAAATACCATACAAATGGTCAGTCAAGTCATCAGCAAAAGAAAGACCCAGATAACCACCAACCAAATTGAAAAAATATCCAGAAGTAATGCTGATGCCAAAACAATTATAATACTGTTGGTACATAGAAAAGTAATCCTTATATTTTATACATTTATACAGTATACAAAAGATTACAGTGGATTATGCCACAGTCTCCCTTATGCCAATATCTATTTTCTTTGGAAGAAGTTCTTTCCTTTCATCCATGCTTGCTAAGGAGTTTCGGCAATTCTGCCCATCCATGTATAACTTTGCATACACTGGATTGGAATAGTTTGTTGGCTGAAAAGAGATAAGTATATTAGCTGTTATTTAGATTGCTATAAGCCCCCAAAGTGAAAAATTGCTAATCATAAAAGGAACATAACATGCATACATCACAAGACACTAGGGGAAGATTATTAAGCCAAGGAATAGGGGCTGTTAAAATATTTCATGAGACACACTTTGTACATAACTGGTGACATGCAACAAGGGAGAACCTGAATTTATTTGAAACAGAGAAGGGAAACATCATAAATGGTCTAATTTATTATTTGCTTTGATTTACAATAGATATACTCTTCTTTCATGGAGCGTGAATGACTGTTTGTGCTTGACAAGTCCCAAAGGATTCTTCTCTGAAAGTCCCTTAAAGTAAAAGAAGAAAATTGTCTATTCTACTCTTCTAGCATAGATACTAATGAACAAACCAGCCAAGTTAAAACAAACAAACAAACAAACAAAAAATTAATAAAAGGGGAGGGACCTGGATGGGTCCCTTCCCTGATCCAGATGCTGATCTAAATCAGAGAAGCTTGAAATAGGCTATTAAAACATAAGGGGGTTCATTACCCTGCAAGAACTGTAATGGCTTATTTTAACTTCCCAAGTGCCTACTATGGTTTAATTTAGACCAAGTTCTGTTTTTTAGCATGATCTGGAATTAGCAGTTGTATCACCAAGTTACTCTTAAATAAAACAGAGAGACAGGAGGAAGTAACAGCAGCAGACACGTTCTGCATATGTTTGGGCTAATGTGGACTGTGTATATGCATACACATAGATTTATGTGCATATTTCTACAGGTCATGCACTTAGCGCATTTAGACTTTTACAAAGGTACATAAAACTGACTTTCAAATGGAGCTCTTCCAAGAGGGTTATTGTTGGAAGTATAGCAGAACAGCAGTATCCAGAGCAACGTGCATGAAAGGGCCGAGTGGTGATGCAAAGAGCAGATGGAGAAGTAATTTTCATTTGAATATATTGGTGAAATCCAATATCGTGCAAGGAACTTGAATAATTAAACTTTCTCCTTGCCTAAATCTCCCTTTGGCTCCAGTACCCACCACTAGAAATTTCTATTTGGAGTTTGGGGGATCAATAGAACTTGTAGACTGTGCAACTATACTGCAGTGACAAGGGAAACTATAAATTCAGGAATCTTGTGTGAGTGCTACAAGATTCCTCTGCCCAATTTCCCTTGTTTATTGCACCTTAACAGCTTACGAGTTCAGCCTTCTGAAATAGTTTTTCAGGGGCAACTAAGGGCTTCAGGGTGAAGAACATGAAAGATGTGAATTTATGTTTCATTTGTGGAAAGTTGCATTTTATTCTAAATTATTTGTTTGTTTCTATGGATGATTATTTTATGGCGCATAAGACTGTCAGTAAGTATTGGTTGTGATGGCTATATAGAGTATAGCTCCTAATACAAGTTGATGCAAAACAAAAACTACTATGTTCATCTCCTGATGTGGATTTCTTATTGTGATATAATTGACAACTATGAACTAAATGCAGGACACGATGGCTTTTTGTCTGGCTTTTTAACTATTCTTCTGCCCATTTTTTATTGTCTGGTGATCTATTGTACATCTCTCTGTAAGTGTATCTTTCAAAAAGGATGTAGTTGAGTGTACAGTTCAAATAATTATGTTGCATCCCCACTTAGAATACAATATCTGATACTAGAAAAATTAAGTTCTATTGAAATGGCACCTGGCCAAACAAATGAATTGGTTTCTGAGAAACATTTTGCTGACATGCTCTTTTTTCAGCCATAAACATAGCCAGCATTTCAGAGCACACTACAGGTGTGCCACAAAATGTTTTATATTATCTATTGTGCTTAAATGAGTTTACTTTCCTGGTGATCTTAAGAGGGAGAGCATGATTCAAACACTGAGATAAACAAAGGTCACTCTGATCTTAAGCCTCCTGAGAGATACATTGGAAAGATTCATAGCATGAATTCATGACTGAATTCAAGTATCACATTTTCAGCCTTCAAACCCTATCAAAATCATCATTATTGCCATGACAATATAACTAAGTCTACTTTTCCATGCTTTCCTTACTCCCTTATTAAAGAGTAAGCACTATTAAACTCATGCATAGGATTAGGTTGCACACTGTGTGTTATACACTATAAAATTGGCTGGAGCACAATAATTCATGGTCAGAGAAGCTCAGCATAAAACCATAACAAAGTCTGTTCAATTAATCTGATCAGCCACTCTCTATGTTGTATTTCCCTGCCCCCCCAGCTCTTCTTTCTTTTATGAAGAAGAGTCATTTTGCAGAACTGAATACATGCAAAATGATTTTCAGTTACAGAAATCACATAACACACATGAAAAATGAAATATATAAATACATGCATCTTTGCCAGTGAGGATGGTTAATAAGAATGTCACCCACATTTAAGACAGCTCAAAGATTTCCAATACATTATTTAGAGATAATGGATGCAAATGAGCAAGCTGAGAGCATTAATGTTTCATTGCTTTATTTTAGAACATTTTTTTGAATGTGATTTCAGCTACCTATCTTTTTTGAATTGCATACATTGTGCTCATAAAATTCTATCAAAACTAAGTACACATTTATGAACATGTTAATTTCAAATGCTTTTGGACTGCCATCATGTCATCTCTGGGAGAACATCCAAGCCGACCAAAGACTTCATCTCTCTCCCCCTGAAACTAGAGTGGAAGAGACTCCTGTCATTGTAATATGCACTTTTGCTGCTTTGTGAGCCTTTGGAAAAGACTGAAGCCAATGCTCCTCTAGTATTAGACAATGCTAGAATCCAAAAAGGGTGTCATGGAGAGTTGTCCATCTATCCCAAACTGGGAGTTCTATGGCAGCCACAGAGCTGACATTGTTTATGGTTCAGATGGGAAAATGGGTAGAGATGGACAACCTGAAGAAGAAGAGAAAGAGTTCTGCTCTTTCCTTCTTTCTATCTTACTGGCACAAGTCTGGTAGCTGTTCATTGCTTTGAGAACTAAATTTTGACATTATCTGCCCTAGAGGAAGAATTATTCTGTTAAGAACAGAAAAATGAAAAACTAGGTGAAACTAAATTCAGGTCAAGCTTCCAATATAGTATAATTTGTATGTTTTGACTTTGGGAGAAAATCATATAAACTACTAAAGCTGCATAGCAAAATATCACCAAACTATAAATTAGCATGTCATGGCTTATTCTTGTTGCCTTTTGAGGAACAAGTAGATATGATGTTAATTATGGGAATACAATTAACATGTAAGTTTGTTTTATATAAAATAGTAGGGGTATCATATCTGGTCTGCAAAAATCAAGATGGCCACTAGACTGCAACAGTGTTAGCATTTTCTATATCTCTTTATTACCCCTTAATAATTGTCTAGATTTCTGCTGCCCAAATGTGGTAAATTCATTATTCAGTAAATATGTCTGGCATATATGTGGGATGTCTTTTATCTGTGGGAAAGCATAGAAACATTTGTAACTCTTGGAAGAGGACTGTGATATAATGAACATGGAAAAGAATGACTATTTCTCACCCCTGCTGTTAGAGGTCCTTTCAGATCAGAGTTTAAGTAGATGGGTGGTGCCGTGTGGGGAAGCTTGAAGACTGTAGGACCTCCCCCTATGTATCTGCCCTGCATTGAATAAAGCATGTTTTGAAGTTCAGTTTCTGATTTTAAAATAGTACATCTCCCCGATTTTAAAATAGTACATCTCCCCGCTCCATTCTGAAACATAAGTGAGCAAGTGAGTGAAAACACATGTTGTAACTTTTTTCCCCCTTATAGAAACAAGTAAAAAAAAAAAAAGTTTTTTCTTAGATTACTTAGATTACATTCAGCATGATATTCATACTGGAAATGTGTCTGCATCAAGTTCATTTTCATTTTGTGACGGATGTAGGAAGAAGATCAAGTACGGTATACTGTCTATACTTGACTGATTAAAAACTCACTATCATATCTAAAACAATCCATTACTCAGCTACTGTTTTGGCACGGGGTAACACGGGCTTTATATTAATGGAGGCCTTCTTTTCAGGAATTCATAGAGGTGATTATTATTTGGAACAGTGGGAGTGCCTCTGTATGCTTCCCCCATCCCCCTGAAGTAGTACAACTGGTAGGATTTGTGGGATGCCTTTTGCTATTATCATGTCTTGCTTTTGTCCAACAATGGTTGCTTGTTCCCCTCAGCTTGAAGTTAAAAAAAAGAAAAGAAAAGAGGGGAGGAAATTTCCAGCAGTTTTGACTCATCTTTCCCAGAGTTCTTTATCAACTGGAAACCCATAAAACTTTCAGGGGCATCATCTGCTTCCCATGGTCCAGCCCTAATGGTACCATTTTCCCTTAGCTGCAAGAATAATTTTATTAGAAATTGAAGTATAATTTTTTAAAAAGGATAGTTGCAAGAAAATGCTTACATGCGCCTGAAAATATACCACATATAAGAAGATAACTGCAGCAGTACCATTCAGATTACTGCATCACAGAAATGTAAAAAGTACAGAAAAGAAATAAAAAAATGAACATGAGATCATTGAGTCTGCCACTGTTTCTATTTAATAAAATGCTAAAGTGTATTGCCTATTTAAGTTAGAAAACAAAGCAATTATGGAATACTATGTCAGAAATAATGTACAGTTTATGAGAAACCTTTAACTCTTTTGCATAATAATAGAAATCAGGATTGCCCTTCCTATTTCACAGGCAGTAGCTGATTCTTATTTTACAGCACATAATTTAAGATACTGATACCACAAGATATGAAAACAGATATTACCTCAGATGATTTTAAAATGATTTGGATAACTTTAAGGACAATAGGTCTAACACTGCCTGTTGCCCCTGTCAACTAAATAAATCTTCTTTTGTTCATGCAGTGTATCTCTCTGATTAACAGGTACTTTCAATCATTGTTTGTGAAATTCTTAGAGAAATCTGCTGGTCTACAAAGTTAAATTTTTGGACCAATTAGATTGTTAAGGCTGGTCCAGGAAAGTAATAATACTACTATTTGTATCCTACCAGTTCATAGCCATTGTTATGTTTATAGATTATGATTCTGCTTACTCATTGTCTTGCTATTATACTTGTGCTATCAGTGAAGAATCATCTAGGGATGGTATTCTGCTGCTCCTGTAAGTGGAGAATTGGAAGTATAATCTACAAAAACAAGATTTCTTGAAATAAACCAGACTTGCAGTGGAAGAAATACAGCTATTTCCATCACTGGTCTTTAAACCTGCATATTTTAGATCGCTGAATGTCCCACAGAAGCACATTTAAAGAGGGGTAACAAACACACACAATACTATAATTTAGAATGCAGTGTCTTATTTTACTTTTAACATATATAATATAGAACCATTCCACACATCACATCTTCATTTGAAGAGTGCAACTCTCCAAATGTTGATTTAGTGCTGTGAATGAATCATCATAGATCAAGTATTATACCAATAATGCACTGGATCCAGTGAAGGCTTCTGCAAATGAAAAGGATTGAGGTTTTTTAAAAGATTGTCCTGTGCCTCTCCCTGTTCTCTACTGGAGTAAAGGAAGAGTCTTTGGAACAGTGTAAACTTGGTGAGGAGCTGGAGGGACAGAGGGCATCAGTGAAAATTGGCTGCTACCATTTCCATAACTAAAAGCCTTTGCTGGATCATAGATTCTTCCCTAACTGAAAGGACTCCTCCCATTCATGTACAGGCACTTTTGGATCTCATCCCAACCCAGTAGTTCACTGCCACAGAGTATGAATGGGAAAGCAAAGTAACAGATATTTATTTAATTTACCTTTTCTGGATTTAATGTGAACTCTGGAAGACTCCTTTCACTGTGATTATGCCCCACTTCATACATATTGTATGATGGGTTTCCAATTTCTACATTGAGTCCTCCATTTATTATTGGCTGTCGTCGGATTGTTTTTGTCCTACAATACATCAGAGGAAAATAGAAAATAAAACACTGTCTATAAATAACACTTATTAAAATATTCTCCTATGAAAGGTCTCAATCTGTGATCTGAAAGACTATATTGTGGGGAGGGGGGAATGCATATATTTACATGTTACTGTACAAGTGCAAGTGCTCATTCAATGATAACACTGGAAGAAAACTGTCCCATGACATTCCCCATCTCCATGGCAGTTCCTTGGAGTTTGGTTCTTAAGACCTTGTTTGTTTCTTTTCCCCCCTTCTTTCTCTCTCCTTCACATACCTCTCTCAGTAACATCACTCCATTTCATGGATTTCATAACTCCCTATATAATGATGATTCCTGGTATCTTTCTATTTTCAACTGCCTGTTTGACATACCTATTAGATGTCTAACTGCCATATCAAACTCAAACTTAACAGAATGTTTCTCTTTTTCCTAAACTTCTCTTCAATCCCTGTCCATAATTTTTGCCAACATAACATTTTTCCTTGAGGACAAGTTGTGCTTTATGTTTCTGCTGCCTCAAAGATCTATAAAGAAAAGATGATTTTTTCAGCTACTATAAAGTAAAACAAAATTTCCTTTGAGTTGAACTTGATATCCATCCATCCATCCATCCATCCATCCATCCATCCATCCATCCATCCATCATATTTATATGGTCACCCATCTCACAAAACATGACTCTG